ACGGCTACACACGGCACGGACTAGGTAGTTCGAATTAAAGCTCCTAATTTGAACTACAGTCAAACCTCTTTGCAGGCGGAATAATAGTAGTTCAAATTAGGAGCTTTAATTCGAACTACCTAGTCCGTGCCGTGTGTAGCCGTGGGCAGGTAGTTTGAACTATGGGCATTTAAAAATGGCTCCCTCCTGGAAAAATACAAATGAAGCCCAGGATATTTAAATCCTGGGCTTCATTTCCAAGTTCGAATGCCTATATTAGCCCCCCTACTTCGAACTAGGGTGGCAGTGTAGACATACCCAGGAAGATTTAGGCAAACATCCGTTAAGTATCCAGAATGTCTCAGTCTGACCTGAACTGCTTATAAGTTCTTCAGAGCAGGGATTTTAACTAATTTGTTGGTCCTGTTAGTGTATTCACAATGCTATAAAAATAACGGTAACCGAGTTTTCAAATGCTTAGAGAGCCCTGTCAGTAATCAGTGCAGACCCGGGCTCCGTTGGCAGTGCCATGCACAGAGGGGTCTTTCATTTTTCAGCTCATAATCAGCTGTTTTGCTGAATGGTTAGTGACATTTCTGTTGCGGGAAAAAATGTGGCTCCTTAGCTTTATGATTTATAAGTTTGGAAGACCCTTTTTTAAAAACAGCTTTCTCCTTTCTGCTAACTTTTAAAATGTCATCTCTGTGCTAGAGTGGTGACTTTGAGCAGATACCATGCGCAGCAGTGCTTGTCGGTGCAGTACATTTCTTTAAATTTATGGCCTCCCACTCCCTTTACACAGCTGTGCTTAAGACATTTCTGTAAGTGGAGCTGCATGCATGTACTCTTAGGTATCATCAATCCAGCCCTGAGGTGCACAGCAGGGCATGTGTAACCATGCTGTCAATTTCATTATTTTAGGCTTGCACTGCACACTCGAAGTGCCAGTCAGAAATGACCCCAATTCACAGGCCTGCCGCGCTGCCGTATAACTTCCAAGTTGACGGGGAAGAGGAGAAATTAAAGCATCACAAGAGTTTCATGCGTGGTTGTTTGCTTTGTCTGGGCTTTCCTCCATGGCTGAGGCTTGCTGTCGTTGCTCAGAATAACTGATTCCCACTTACTGCAAAGTTGTCCTTTTTCTTTTAGAGCAAAAGCGAGCGTCTGAAGGCTTGGATAAGGGCACATCTACCTTCCTGGTGCAAAGAAAGGGATTCCTGGTCTATCTACATCTTTGCGCCTCACTCGAAGTAAGGCAACTTCCATACTAATGGGATAGCTGTGGTAGAATTGAATGTAGGTGTTAAAATGGGTCACTCTGCCCCAGCACCATGAACATCAGCGTGTTCACTGTATGTCAGCCTGCCAAGTTCTTATTGGGTGCTGCATTAAGGGTAAAGCCCACTGCCCTCTTTGAGTCCTAGCGGCCGATTTTTTTTTCCCCTGACCTACCCCGAATATACTGCTCCATTGACATGTAATAGTCATGGGCAGCTGTTTGGGGAGCATTTCCCTTAGTGCAGACAAGTTGTAGGGTTATTGTAAGCCCTAGTATAAAGATGAGCTATGGGCAGACTTGGACACATGGGTGTCGTCTCTTAGCTTAAAGTGTCTTTGGGATCAGGGGGCTGCACCGTAGCTCATAGCCAGCCAAGAGAACAGCTCCTTACTGCTATAACTTACACCAGGATCGGGTTCAGTGCCCAGAATACGGAGGGGGCAAAGGTGGTTTGAAGTCACCTTTGCCCACACCCATGTCCTGGAGGTGTGGCATGGAATCTGAGCCCTGTTTATTAACCTGGGGTACCTGAGGAATTCTGCTTCCTTCCCTAAGATTGGTGATCCTTTGGTCCTAAAGATTTATGGACACCAGCTCTCACCCCTATAGCCACAGACACTTCCCACCTATTGCTTCAGTGTGCACACACAGTTTCAGAAAGAGAGCCTGGCGAGAGCCTTTGCCCGAATGGAGGTTGCTACCTGGGGAAGCCATGCTGCTCCAGGCTGGGAAAGCTATGGCCCAGAGGTAGCAGTGAACAGCTGTTTGCCCAGTAGTCTGTGGTGATAGTGGTCAGAGATGGCATGTAGCTTGCACATTTACCAATGTCCGCGTGGCTTCACAAGGAGCTGCAAAGACTTGTACATTCAGTTAAGCTGAGAGCCACTTTAACTTCTTCCAGCTCCTCAGTGTTGATGTAGAGCTCTCCATCTGAGTCTGAGTGTAAAGGGATTGAAGCTAGTGTCAGGGGATTTAAATTGCACTTCATCTTTAAATCTGGCCCTGTGAGCCTATGGAAGTCTGCCAGAGGCTGGCAATACTTGCCTGGAACGCCTCACCCAGTAGGCAGTTTCTGAGCCTCCTGGCAGAATTAAGTTGGATCTGCTGATTCACAACGGCAGGCAACTGACTCACAGGGGCAGGTTACTTCATTCTGACAGAAGGAAGGTGACAGGAGACCTCTGGGGGGTGGGAGCGTCTAGAGTTTGGGCTGAAAAGTCCTATGGGAGGAACCCAAGGCAGAACCACGCTTGAGAGAGGGCATGAAGGCTTTATTATGCTTCCGCTAATTTCTTTGTGAATAAAGCCAAGCACCCAGGGAATGGGTGAGTTTGTGATTCTATACACTTGGCACAGTGGCTAAGTACATCCAATGGTATCTAAATTGCTACCACATATGTGTTGAGTGGGCCAAAAGACAGCAGTACGCCAACTTAGACCCCTCTAGACTAATTATGTCTACAAGTCAACACAGCCCTGTTGCTAAAAGTTAGGCAAGGTAAACGCTGTTTGTCGGCACTTTTGCTGTAAAATCTTCCATCCCCTGTGAGCAGAGTTTGCACTAACACTTACTAGAACAAAGCTTTTGTCTTTCAGGGAGGGCGATGATTACACACTTCTGAACTACAAAAGCTTTGTTGCTCAATTGCCAGTGTAGACAAAGCCTTTAAATTTGGCCTTTTGTGTTTCCTTTCTTCCCTCCCCCAATCCCGTTGGCTTCCATTACTTCTCGCAAGGAGTAGGAGTACCAGCACTGACATGGATGCCCTCAGCATTTGATTTAGTGGGCCCTTACTAGACCCGCTAAATCAAATGCCAGAAGATCAATCTCTGGTACAGCAAGTGGAGACATGGCCTGTTTCGTATCGAAAGGAGCAAGTGTCCTTTGTTCTTTCCAAGGGTCAGCTGTTATATGGCAATCTGGAATCAGTGCCTGAGGCACGTTTACTAGGGAAGGTCATGTTTTCTCCTAAGGGATGCTTTGCATTTTTAATCTGGTGGGGCCCAAAACAGCAATCCAGTTCATTCATACAATGATTACATAGACTTTCAGAAACAGACTTTGGGAAATGTAATAACCATATTATAAATCCTGCATCAACGTACAGCCATCTGTCATACTAACTAGCTTTTGTTCTTTTGTTCAGCCTAGTATTCTTTACTCAAACTGCTTTTTTTAGAGATGAAGCTAAATTAAAGCCTTGAATCCAAATGTGTCTTTGATTTTAGAGAAAGGAGCACTCGAAATCCAAACCTTGCAATAGGTGTGATTTACAAGTGGCTGCTCTCTTTACAGTAAACCAAATCCCAGATCCAACCAAGCACCGCTAAACTTTGTGGTGTTTGCAACCCGTGTTCAAATTTTGTGGTTTGCCCCCTTTTCTGTTTATGTTTGCTAACATGTGGCCATCCTAGAGAAGGAGTCGGGAGTCAACAATGGATCTGCTTCCCAAGCGGAGTGTTCTCTCTCACCCCGTGCAAAAGTCTTGCAGAGCAGCGAGGTGCTAGCAGCTCATTATGTATCATTTTTAATTTTTCTGGACAGATTCCGTCTGGTGTGCAATAAAATCATCACCCACAAGATGTTTGATCACATCGTCCTGGTTATCATCTTCCTGAACTGCATTACCATTGCCATGGAACGGCCAAAAATTGAGCCCCACAGTGCTGTGAGTATCAGAGCTGAGCTGCAGTTTAATGATTTCTGAAACTCCCTGCTGTCACAATCGTTGTGCAGCCACCAACGTTCCACGTCACACTTGACTACCTCTCTCGTTCTCTCTCTACACTTGACTTCATACCATTGAGCAGGGGGGCTTCCAGAAGGGGCGGAGCCACAGATGGAAGGGGTGGGGCTGGATAGCCAGCCCTAGCACCCCCCAGATTGCATGTCACCCCACCCCCACAGCAGCCCTCAGCCCCACCCAGAGTGTGCCACGTGGGGCTTCAGCAGCAATTTAAAGGGCCTGGGTCTCTGACGACCACCATTGCCACAGTAGTGATGGCACCAGCTGGGAGCCCTGGTCCTTTTTGAATTGCTGAGCCCTGGGGCAACTGCCACCTTGCCCTCCTCCCCCATCGGCGGCCCTGCCATTGAGAAGGAGGAGGTACAGATCTGCAAAGCTATACTGAAGTCACCGGGGCTTTGCTGATTTACACCAGCTGAGGACCTGTCCCTGAACTTCAGACGGGGGATCCGATCCTTAGGGGCCATGCAGCTGTTGTGTGCAGCACTGACACAATGCTAAGACCCCAAACCTGGTCTAACCTGGCCCAGAGAGGATCCTGCAGTGAGAGATGAGCAGGCAGCAGTATACGGCCCACAAGGGGCATGTGAGCCAGTAGGCTCTGGGAGGGGCGCCTCCCCCTTGGGGTCATTGGGGGGCCACTCTGACCCACAACAGGGCTACATGCTCCACCCGCCCTGCAGCTCGCAGCATGTAGGATGTGCATATGGCTAGAAAAAAAGGAGCAGCACACATAGCGACGGCCCTCCGCCTTGCCCTGGTCCTGCAGTATGTTTTAGCTTTGTGATCAGTAGAGGTCCAGGTGAGTAATGGTGATGCTCCATGCATCGCTGCTTCCTCTGGCTCCAACAGAGCACAGAGGAAACAGCCATACACGGGGCATGCCCAGCATCAGGGCAGTGCGTGGGAGGGCTTTCTACCATCTCTGCATTCATGGTTTATTGAAAAACAAATCAATCCTGTCTCTGTGGTGTTAACTTCAGCAATAAACGTACCTCTATAGCACATGCAGCGGTGGACTTTGCATGACACTGCCAACAGACCAGGGTTCTTTCAGGCATTCAATCCTCTGCCCTCACCGAAGTTTCTTTCCTCTGATTCTGAAACATACAAGAACAACACCCATGTGCTGGGAAAGGCATCCAGACTTCCACTTTTAATATCCCCTCTTCCCAGGCACAATCAGACTGTTTTAATACATGATATAACCAGGACATCTGTCTCCATTTTCTTCTCTGATAAACATTCAAACACTTTTACTCTCTCCGCGCAATGTTAGCTCCTTCCATCTGTTCTGCATCGCCGTATGGGTGGTGGGAAGGGAGAGAGGGAAGCTGTTCATTTTGTACTCTTCTGGCCTCTTTGTCAATCATCTTTGTTGTGACATAAGCAAATTGAATGAATGCAAGCACTGTAATTCCATTTCCCCAAACCATTTGTTTTAATAAATTGCATAATGATTTTTCAAACCAGACCCTCGCAACATCAGCTCCTATCAGTCAGCCGGGCAGAATCAGCCACTTGCTCTTTTATTTTTGTATCGATTGTGGCGGAGAGGTACACTAGGCTGCCTCTGACATATTGCAAAAGGCTGTTCAGATTGCAACAATATAAATCCCTGTTCCCTCGATGCGGGAATGCTTTGCTAGTTCTTGTCTGTGGATATTTAGAATGAGCTCTTAAAACTAAGAGTCTTTGTACTCTTTGTGTGTGTTAAAGGTCTCATTAGCACTCTTCCTCAGAGGCTGAGCATGTCCCAAGGTCCTTAAGCCAAATTTCTTTGCCTCTCTGTTCTGCAGTAGGCAATGTCTTCCACCCCAGAGGTGGCTGCATTGCATTGTATGTATACAATAGCAAAACACTTTGGAGTCTTTCTGTATAAATGTAAACTCTCATTATCATTTTATCATCTGTCAATATGTGAGTCCAGTGGGTTTGGTGAGCACTGAACTGGGGAAAGCCAGTGGGTAGATAGGCCTGGACAGTGAAGCCCCTGGATCCATAGAATAAGTACAACAGGGATAGTAGCTCCTGTCCAAGCATCCTCACAGTACCCCAGCCTTGCCCTGGAGGGGATCTGCCATTAGGGTGAGTGGTGATCTGTCTTCACAACCTATTTGGTCCTTGACGTCTTCTGAGTCTTGCAAGGTGGCCCGTTAGTGCTACCTGTAGTGGTGGCTTTTGTGATCCACTGGGAACTAGATGGTAGCCACTAACCAGCCAGCAAATGGTAACAACTCTTAGGCTAGGTCTATACTAGACCCAGAAGGTCAGCTTAAGGTATGCAATTCCAGCTATGTAAATAATATAGCTGGAGTCGACATGCCTTAAGTCGAACTTGGTGCCATCGCCACAGCAGGTCAACAGGAGCAAACACGCCCGTTGACTTCCCTTACTTCTCACAAGGAGTAGGAGTCCTGGAATAGATGAGGGCCTCAGAGTTCAATTTAGTGGGTCCTTACTAGATCTGCTAAATCGAATGCCAAAAGATTGACCTCTGGCATGGCAAGTGGAGACACAGCCTTAGTCATTTCCAGCCTGGGCTGGATCCTAAACAATAACTTTAAACGTGGCCCAATGTTATGACAGAGGCTCTAGCCTGCCACAGAAGACTCCAGGAGCTCAATATATTAAGCTTCACAAAGAGAATGTGAAAGGGGAGACTTGATCACAATTAATAAGCACCTATATGGGGAACAAATATTTGATCATGGGTTCTTTGTTTTAGGAGACAAAGGTATAAACACAAAGCAGTTGGCTGGCAGTTGAAGCTGGACACATTCAGTCTGGAGAGAGTGTGCCTTTTTAACAGTGTGGGTAGTTGGCCATTGGAACAATTCACCAATTGTTATGGTGGCTTCTCCTCCATCACCAGCAATTTTTAAACCAAGACTGGCTGTGTGTCTGAGCTTTTTATTGTTGGGGAGGCTCTAGGGCTTGTGTCCTACCGGGGGTCAGACCAGAAGATCACAGTGGCCCTTCCTGGGCTTGCTGTCCATGCATGGAGCAGGATTCTTGCAGAGCAGGATTCTGTTTTCACCAGACAGCGGATATTTTTTCCAATCGCACCTGCCAGGTAATAAAACAGGCTCACTGTTCTGGCTGGGAGTTCGCAGTTTGGTGTGCAGGGTTTGGATCCCCTTGCAACTATTAAAACAAAACCACCCTTTTAATGAAAGCCCATTGATGCTGCCCTCCATTAATTCACTTTTGAAATTAATTGGACATGGCAAATTTGGAGGCCGTGTGAGCTTGTTTTGAGTGATCCGCCATTGTTGAACATACGGGTGCCTTTTACTTTCAACTTCTGTTTCCTATTAGACATTGTCAGGCAGGCTGCTAGGGCAGCGACTGTGCATGTGAAAGGTTGGCTTGGCCATGCAGCTCCCTTGAGCTCATTCTTTGAGGGCAGGAACAGATCAACTGATTTGGGTGCTGGCTCCTTCCCCAGCTTGGCCATTGGGGCAGGTTGCCCTGGCATGTCACATAATGACTCCCAGTGGGTTTCATGGAGCTGATGGAGGCTGAGATTTTCCAAGGATGATGATGGGATTTGGAGGGAACTGAATGGATGGAATTGGGTGTCTGTATCCTCTAGGCTGTTCTGGAAATCCCGCTGTAGCTCTTGGTCTTTTGAAGGCTCTTAAAAAGCTAGATCAAAGGACTTCTTTGCTGTCACCCACATTCTGCAGAGATACTAAAATGCAGCTGTCTGGCCGTGACCTGCTGCAGAAGTAGGGCCAAATCCTCAGCAGGTGTAAATCGGCATAGCTCCATGGAAGCTGCAGCAGCAGAGTATCTGCTCCACACATTTGGGACCATGCCTTCACATTCTGAATGGCTTGTTGATCCCAGGTTGGGTCCCCTTAAAACTCTTGTCCAGAAACCCGGGCCTAGAGAGGTATTTCATTTGCATGGGTGTTCAGGGAAAGGCTGGCGGTGGGTATATGGTGACCTGGATCCACATGCAAATAAGAGCCATCTTTATCCACTCCATGCTATTTGTTGTTCCCCCATTTAAAAGCCATTTGAACTGGGCCTCTGGGATATTGACCCAGTCAGGGTGAGGACAAGGGTGGGAGCACCAAAGACAGGAGGAAAAGTGGGGTCTCTAGTGCTGTGACATGAGAGGATTTGTTGAGAGTCTGGATGTGGAGGAGCCTGAGGTGCGGTGCTTGGGAGATGAGGACTGTTGGGCTGCCAGGGGTGAGGGAGGATGAGGCACTAGGGTCTTGCCTCGGCTTGGAGATTTCTGAGACGTGGACAGAGGGGAGAGAGGTTGGGGCAGAGAGGTAGATATGAGAACCATCAGCCTGGCGGTGGTAACCATGGGAGCCATTCAGGGTTGTCCAGGGATGACGAAGAAGTGGACCAAGGACAGACTGCAGAAGAGGGGGGACCAAGGGTGGTACCACAGGAGATGCTAAAGGGGGGAGATTGAGAGTGAGGCACAGCAAGCACAGGTACCCGGCCCCATTCCAGCTGCCAGAGGTCTTGCCTGGAAACACAAAGGGTGTGTCTAGACTACATGCCTCCTTCGACGGAGGCATGTAGATTAGCCAGACGGGGGAGATTGAGAGTGAGGCACAGCAAGCACAGGTACCCGGCCCCATTCCAGCTGCCAGAGGTCTTGCCTGGAAACACAAAGGGTGTGTCTAGACTACATGCCTCCTTCGACGGAGGCATGTAGTCTAGACACACCCAAAGAGAAAAAATGGAGAAAGAAAAGAAAAAAAGAGAGAAATCAGAGACAAAAAAGGCAGCCAATGAGTAAACACAGGACTGGATCCTACAAAGATCTTTTGATCAAGTCCCACTGCATAAAATTAAGCACATGCATAATATGCCTCAGCAAGATAAGGGCCATGCAGAGATAGAAAGTATATATTATAAGAGCAATGCATATTACCCAGGGTGCACAAATATCTTTATGTCATGAGGTAGGAAGGCTTTGGTACTAACCCAGTTGATGTTCTTCTTTATTTTCTGTCTATATCCATCTAGTCCAACTCCTCACACATTTTTTGCATTCTGATTTTACCTCCCTCCTGTTTCTGTGCCCAGCTGTTCTTGCTTCCTGGGTCTGGGTTGGTGAAGGGAAGTTAAGTAAGCCACTCATTCAACCAATTTCAATATTTTTAAAAACCCCAAAACCTCAGTTTCATTTATCACATTAAAATTCATAATGAATGAAAAAATTTAAAGTGGAAAAATGTTGGAAGGTTGTTTTTCTTATTTCTGAACCAGTTACATTTATACACATACCCTGGTTTAATTAGTTTTCATAATATATGACATAATGTGCTAGGA